TACAGTAATGTCCTGTGGTTTAATTTAGTGCTGATTGCCAAGTACTTTTTAGTTCTAGAATGAACTTGCTTATTACTCACTTTTCTCTTTGATTCGTTATGATTATTGTCCGACAAGTAAGGAATCCTGAGGATAACTTGGTTGCCATTCGTACTTTATAGATGAGGAAATTCACTGTCCTGCAACATGTAGAAGAGGGTGTAGGAAGGCATTGTTCAAGTCTCATTTAGAATTTGGGACTTTATGGTTCCCATTTCTTTGTTCAGACTATAAAGCCTAAATGAGTCGGCAAAGAATATCTTTGCAGCAGTCTGAACAAAGCTGTTTTTTTAACAAAAAATAAAATTGAAAAAAAGCTTTCTAGAGGTGAAATTGCTTTTCTAGAGTTAAAATGCAGGATTTTGTCCCCTCACCAACAGATTTTCTTCTTGTCCGATTTCAACTGATTTTTATTGTTTATTTAGTTCATCTAACTCTCTCTTGCTAAAGGTAAATTAAGAACTACTGAAAAAGAGAGAAGATTTTGTACCTCCTGTCTATTTCTACAACATACTTGAGGAAAGGCATTTTCTTTTATAAACCTCAGCTCCCAGCAGAACCTGTCAAGTAATTTCCTACTTTAAAGGCCACTTTGTTCATGTGGAATAACTTTCCACGTAGTGAAGGTTTAAAAAACTTTTCTTGCCTACAGATATGTATAACTCACAGCCTCAGATCTGCTTTGTAGATTAATACAACCTTCAAGGAGTCTGTTTACAAGTATCTCTCTCAAAAAAACATCAGCCTGTTACACGTAGTATTATCACCAGACAAATGTCAGCCCCTGTAAATAATTCTTCCTCTTGCTTGGGTGATAAAAATAAGTACTTCCATGAGAAAATCAAGACATTCAGTAGATGCAGTTCTACAGATATTCCTTTAATTCCTCAGATTATCTTTGTAATTATATTAGTGTTCATATTTTTCAGAAATAACATTGACTAAATATTTAAAGACAGTGGTTTGCTTTTCATCCGATGAAGAAAGGTGGCAATCTGTTTAAAGGTATCCCACTTACTGTGTCGCCTGTGATTCCATTTCAAAAATGAGCTTTTTTAGAGTTGACTTTTAAAAAATGTCAGCTGTGCTATTTTTAGAAAATAATTTGGAAGAGGGATACGCGCCTTGGAAGATTTTTGCGACATCAAAACAAATAGCCTTGGTAAAGGCAAAATACGACCAAAAGGTAGTGGCAGCTTTCTGCTGGACTGAATTTTACGTGCAATGTTACCTCTGAGGCCTACCTCCAAAAATCAATTTTGCTGCAGTTAGACTTTTCCTCTAGATCAGACATTTGTCACAGTTCAGTATCCATCCATCTCCTGCCTCTTTGGCCTTGTGAAGGTAACAAATGGAATTCTGTTTGGCTGCGTCTGGAAAAGATGAGCAGCGATTTGGGTTCTTTCATATCTGTAAGAAGAAGCTGAGCACTGGAATAATTGACCTGTCAAGAAGCAGGCAAGGTGTTCTCCACAAGCCAGCAGCAAGGGAAATGAGAAAACGGTTTTAAAAATGTTATTTTTCAATGTGGTCTATTTAATAACTGCAGCAGTGTCAGACGAGTGGCTTAATTTATATCATGGTGCCAGCTTACAGAATGATATTATCAGAGAAAGGAAGCAGAACTATTATATACATATATGTGTTTACACAGACGAAAAGGAGCTAAAAAAATATTTTATTTTATAATTTTCACTATTTCTTTCATACTTGCTCTAAAGATACATGGTTTTGGGTTTTTTTCAATTACATGCACTGTTTTAAATCTGGTTTGGAATAACTTTGTGGAGTAGTATTGGTTCTGCATATTGTTTGTCACCACAAAAATATGACAGTCGGTAATGGAAGTCTCCTTAGTTTTTATTAGCTGCTGTCTGTCAATACCTTCTTGCCTTAGTGCAGCTCTTAAAATGATATTTTCAGCTGCATTCATCAGCTGCAACTTTAATTTTGCTTCAAACTTACCATATCTCCTCCAAAAAAAAAAAAAGACACACACTGGTAGAATATTAACTGGAATATTCATGCAGTTTAAATGCAAAGACAAATGAATACACTATGTTTTTCTTTAAATGTTAGAGTACGGTATTAATTTTACATTTCTTTAGCATTTACTTTCCTCTCTCTCTGTCTGTGTTTCCAGGTATGTGTAGATAAGAAATTATATTTCTGAATGCCCTTTGTGTTTGAGGATGAAAGTAAATACGTTTCAGCAAGTTGTTCTATTGTACTTAAAAACAAAAATGAGTTATACAGTGTTAAGCTTTGCCATTTTTATGATTATTATTTTCGTGTAAAATGTTCTAATTAATATTGCATGCATACATTTATTCTTGGTTTTGTTGATGAATAACTTGAAGACTTTTAAAATGTTAATTTTTTTACTATGTGATGAATTATTTCACTTGCCATAAAATACACAATGCAACTATTAACTTCACCAATTTTATGCTCTGCACGATTGCAAGCAGTAGCCCAAGGCCACCTTTCCATACTTCACTTAAGCTGGCCAAGAGTCAAATTGTCCACAATACAGATCCTTTTCTTCCCTGCAGTACACTGTTTCTCTGCATCATTCAAGGTCACAAGGACTCTGCCAAGCACTATTTGCTTTGCAGCTGAACCAGCCTCTGAAAATGTTGTCAAAATGTGCATCCTCGCAGGACAGTAACACACGTGTCATTTTTCTTTTAAAATATTTGTTTCTGATGTAATCTTGTATGGTCCCTTGTCCCCTCCTCTGATACCCTAGTTTTAAGCTGTGTGATTCCTGTAACAGACTACTCCAACTCTTCAGGGTTATCAGAGTAAGGATTTGAGCTCAGCTCCTTGAGCATGTGCCAGGTCAAGCGCTGAGGAGCATCCAAAACGGGAACACAGCCAGTCTCAAAGAGGCCACGGGGAACAATAAAGAAGTCTGAATTGACTCAGGAAATTTGAATACTCCTAATATCTGTGGCTGGTTTTACTTCTGTTAAACCTGCCAGACTTTAATACAGAGATGCCAGTGGCTTTTTGCTTTTCCTAGAAGCGTGATCCAAGGATGCTCATGCAGTCCAGAGTACCTGTTAAAGAGAAGACAGGAGTCCTGTTGCCATAGCACTTAGCACTGAACGAGTCCTCTCTGGATAGGAATACTCTACACCAGGGGGCTGGAGTCAGGGAGCTGTGATACTCGACGTGAGATGCACAAAAGCAGAAAACTATCTAGATTTGAAATTGGGGTGGGGAAGTGATAAATATTTTAGATTCTGGTACAAGGTCTACTGTAAGTCTTCAAAATAAGCTTCCGTATTTCATATTAAATGTTTTAAGATCCTATTAAAGGTGATGACAAATACATGGAAGAAAAATTCCATAAAGAGTTATTAAACACAAAGAGATCACCCTGAAACAGAAAGTGTCTAAGCAACAGGCTTCCGTGAACTGGAAAATTGTCCTGGAAAGGAATCACAATATGCTCACTTTATTAGTTCACACTTTCCTAGCCTCTTTCTATTAGTTTTGTCCAAGACTGATAGGTGGACTGAGATAAATGGACTAGATGGATCCTAGGACAAGTTCAGTGCAGCTGTTATCAATATTTTTTTTCCCCAGGGACTATACCTTAATATAATACGCTTGACTCTGGTAACTTAGCTTGCCACTGCGGTGGAGTTTCAACACTCACCTAGAAGTAAGGGAGGGGAGAGGGGGAGTCGCAAGAAGTTACAAGTGGCAGAGGAGGGACACATGCCACAGCCCCGGCCCTGGCAGCTGTAGCTGTGGTGGGAGGGCCCCCGCGTGGAGATGCACCTGATGCTCACGGAGGGGACTTTTCCGCAGCGGAGCTGCTGCGCCACTTCCCAAACCACTTGTCCTGAGCCAACAAGAGCACCCTGCTGCTGGTGTAGCTGCAAGAGGGGCTCTGCCAGCACAGCTCTGATCACTAATAGCTATGATTATTTTCTTTTCTTTCCACTCTTCTAGCCAATGTAACAGGGCTGTCAAGCCATTGGCTTTTTGTTATAGGCCTTGGTATGCAGTGACCAGCCAAACAGCTGCGAATGGTTGAACTGCACAGGACTCTGAAGAGAAAGCAATTTGCCTAGGGAAAAGAGGACATAAGTATATATCTGACCTAACCTAGCACCTTCCCTATTTACTGGCATTTAATATAGAAGCCCTGAACACCTTAACCCTTTTCCACCTAGGAGTGCAAGGTTTTATGTTTAAACCTGTTCAGTTTATGTCTTCCTGTAGAACCAATAGGAAACAAAACAAAAAAAATCCTTTAACATCTGCGGCTCACATTATTATTAGACCACGTGGGGAAAGAAGAATCAAAACTTTTTCAGGCCAGGTGAAGCAGCCTCACATTATGACTTAGTTGATACAACCATAGCTGTTCGTGCATGTTATGGAAAACAAATGCAAGTGTGAGAATAATTCCAATGCAAGCTTTAAAAATGCTAAATGTAAATAAATGAGGAGCGATTTGTATTGATTTTCCGTGGCCACAAATTTCATATTGTCATTCAGCCCTATGCTTCTCTTCAGAAAGGCATTTTTCAAAATTGTCAGTGCCTAACAAAATGTGCATACCTAGGCCTGCAGGGACTGTGAACTTTGTGTACTGTCTGCTTGCTCTTACATTGTTTCAGCAAAATTCGTGCTCTAGCAAACGGATTAATGTCTTACTTCTGCCTGTTTCCTCTCGTTGGTGTAGCTCCAAGTGCCCCTCCTCAGTCTGTTACAGTCCTGACAGTCGGAAACCACAACAGCACAAGCATCAGCATCTCCTGGGATCCTCCCCCTCCAGATCACCAGAATGGAGTCATCCAGGAGTATAAGGTAGAGATGATGTCTGATGGGAGGGTTGCGTATTTAAGGAAATAGCCTACTTGAATTACAGAACAATAGTGCTGTTTATGGATTTAGATTCTGACAGCATTTACAACTGCCCATATAATTATATGGAGAAAGAGGAATGAATGAGAATATGAATATGACTGCTTTGGATTTATTTTTTTTATTTATTTATAGCAGTACTACTGTTACATTAAAAGCAAAAATACCATGAGCTAGATCTGGAGAAAAGCTGTAATTGCCAGCTAGTTTACAGTGCTTCTCTTTCCTGCTTTTCCCTGCTGTAGAAGGAGAAGAAGGATTTTTTTGTTAAGGGCTTCTTCAGTCTCAAGACAGGAGGTGAAGTCCCTGTCTTAGAGTGCCTTCAATTTGGCAGAAAAACTGGCAGGAAAGATACCTCTTCTTTCCCCTTGCAAAAAATGCTGATCCTAACACTTCAAGGTCAAAGTCAAGGACTGTGGCTCTGTGAGAATACAAGACTTCTTCAGAGTACTATCTCTTGTCAAGATTCGCAACTTAAAGTGCTAGGTTGTTTGCTCTGAGGAACAGGTTGAACACCACGACTGTATCCGGTGTTTTTCATATGAGAGTTGCCTGCATTGTTTGTATTCTCTCCTTCTTTGTTGCTATGATGGCTCAAAGTATCCAGTCCTTGTATATCATCTTAAATTTTTTTGTGGTCTGTAATTCCCCACTAAGCTCTCTTTTGCACAAGTGTATTTTCACAACACAGAAAAAGTGCAGTGTGTTATTAGGGTGGAGGACTATGGAGAAAATGATTGGGCAAGGTTCAACACTCACAGGCTTGTGGCCATGGAACACACTGTTAAATGCCTAATGTGAAATTTTTAGTTTAAATCGAGCAGGGCAGCTTTCTTGACAGTCCCACAGAGGGTGGAAGTGGTGGATGCAGCTTATTTCACACAAAAAATTATTTCCCTGCTGTATCTTGAGGGAACACAGCATGAAGAAGGAAGAAAGTGCTTGACTTTTAAATCAACTAATGGTTCAACCTCTTCTGGCTTATTGCTTGGTCAGAGGGATGCAGTAAATGTTCACAATGTTTATGTTTAGCAGAGTACTTCTTTTGTTTTGCTGTTAGTCAATATCAAGATTTATTAATCCCAGTATTTTATTGATCTCTTTTTCATATCAAGTAATAATTATCTTTTGGCTTAATTAATCTTGATACTGACTCCAGTATAAGTCATATTAACCATCAAGGACTTATAGGGAAATAAGTAAAGCGCACGCCTAAACCACAAAATATGTAGATATGAAACAAAGTAGGCTGATGGTTAATAAAAGCCATGTTCCAGGTGAATTCTAAGACCTCTAGGTTGTTTATAAAAACAACTGGAGTCACTAGCTATTACAACTCCCTGTGTTAGATTTGGTGGCTGCCTGATTAGTTAGCTGGCTGCAGTGAATGTAGTGCGAAGAGTCTAAAACTTCCTCGAGTATAAAATGACGTGCTGAGGTTTCACAGTACATTTTCTAACAAATTGAATGTAGATCTGTTGATTCCACTTCGAGCATCAGAATGCCTGTAAATTTGTTTACGAATTCAGTGCCTTTAATTAGGGGCATCTCATAGCTGCTGTAACCTAAGACCAGGACGCACAAGGAGTGAAAGAATGAATGTATTAGTTTCTCACCCTATTCCATTCTGGCCTGCAAATGATACCTACTTAAGCTTAGGAGAAAAAAAGTTTCTTTGCCCTCCAAATCTTCCTCAGTGTTTCACAGGAAAAAGATACGGTGTGCTAAACATGGAGCACTGTAAAAAATAAAGGTGAAGAGAGCATTGCTGTTGCTTATTAACAAATCAGCTGATAGTGCTGCTATTATAATTATGTAGTGTACATGTGACATCTTTATGCATTGATTTTCTTGCGTGGTAGTAAATGCTTTCTTTAATAACATAGAAGCAGTATATGCAGATAACATTAACAGAAGAAGGATCCCTAAAACATCTTAGTTTTGCAACTTGTTGGGAAAAGCCTATGGAAAAACGCAAGAGCGAGACATAACACTCTGAAATGATAGACTGTTCTCATCACAAAATCCCAAGTGAGGGTATAGAGTGGGTTTTTTCTGTTTAATTAAGAGTAATTGAGACAGGAACTAATATCTGGATTCCTGAACAATGTAAGTAATCACAAAGGCAGCAGTAAAAAGTGAGTTTGTACTTACTCCATTTCAGAAATTTCACATATCCCTGTTGTGCAGTGAAAGCAAGTTGAAAAGAATTTTGAAATTTGTTTCCTCTTTAGTACTTTAAGAAGTGTTTCAACCTGTGCTTGTAAGATTTCAATTAATGTATAATGCCTCTTTTTCACTTTGATGATTCTGGTCTGTGCTTCTACGAAGTGTAACCACAGAATTCGCACTCCATGGAAAGCCAGAGTCCAGCAGTATTTGCAAGCAATCTTTGCAGCTGTCTTGGTACTGTGCTAATCTGGAATTGCTTGCTAAGCTAAATCATCCCAGTTCCAGCTACTCCCGCTGTTAAGAAGTCCAAAATAAGTGATTGTCATGCAATACCTTGATACGTCATATCTATGCACAATTGTTTATGAGTATGAAGAATTTCGTATTTTTTAACTCATCAACTTTTGTCCCAGATCTGGTGCCTAGGTAATGAGACTCGATTTCATATCAACAAAACAGTAGATGCAGCCATTCGGGCTGTAGTAATAGGTGGCCTATATCCAGGTATTCAGTACCGCGTGGAAGTTGCTGCAAGCACCAGCGCAGGTGTGGGAGTAAAAAGTGAGCCACAACCCATAATAATTGGTAAGTGATTGTCTGTTTTGTTGTTTTGTTTTGCTTTTTTTTTGACTTTCAGAAATGCTTTCATAAATCACTTCTGGAAGCATAAAAATTCACGGAGCAAAAGACAAGATTTGAATAGAGCTAGTTAGCTTTTAATGTCCGTTGCCTGCTGATGTTGCGTCTTCTCTTTGTGCTGAGTTCTCACAGCCAATGGAGGAAAATATGTTCCTGAGACATATGAGAAAATGCAGATTATCTAGTGAAACTGATTTAATAACTTTTTTATGCATTTACCACTTCTGCAGGTTGATGGATTTATGGAACTAACAGCTCGAGCTCCCTTTTCCTCCTGTTCAGATGGCTGTAATGTTGCCTTACTTGTACCGTTGGTGCCTACGGCACTATTTACAGTTGGTTTTCTGAACATTTAGTGTCATTGTTTCTCACATATCCCAAGCAGACGAGCTTCCTCTGTCAAAGAATAAGTGGCCTCTAGTCCAAATAGAGAGCAAGATAGTATTATCATCCCTGCCTTTGAAATGACTGTTTCTTAGTAGTGGTTTTCATGCTGAATTAATTTCCTGACCTGAGGGAAACACAGATTCTGTTTTTTTCTGAAATTCTTCTCAAGTATAAAATATAAAGGCAGCAACAATATGGAAAGGGTAAGAATAGGAGGAGTAACGAGAGTTAGCAGAACTGAATTGAGCTGTGCAGAGCAGCACCTCTTTTGAGTGTGTAATACAGGTATTCTGTTACTTTTATCTGTATGATCTAATTTAGTTATTACTTAAATGGGGTTTTGTTTGTTTGTGCATCTTTTGTTGTTGTTAAATATTTTCTTTCTAGAAAATGTTGTCAACGCAATGTTGCAAATGTGGACTATTCTGTTATGTGTAGACCTTTAGAAAAGACCATCCCCTAAGTGTTGCTTAAATGTTTAATGATATTCAGGTTCCCTGTGCATCAAAACAGAAATTGGAATACGTCAGTTTTAAATATATTGTCACTGGAGAGGGAAATATAAAAGTGGAGGTGAAGGAAGCACTGGTTTTAGAAAAAAGCAGACACGCCCAAAAAAAGAAGGGAAAATGTTTTCTAGAACTGAGAGCAAGAAATTGATTTTTGAAAATGCAAGAAACCTGTCATTTAATAGATCTGAATTTTGGATCTCTGGGTGAATAACTGATGTTCTGAGACTAATCTGTCATTGCATTTGTTTTGAGCAGAATTTCTTTTTCTTATTTCACTAGGGAGTCTGTCTAGCTAGGCACTAAACACACTGGGCTTATTCCAACAAAACACTTAAGTGTGTTGCTTTTAAGCACATGAGCAAACTTGTGTCACTTAACGTGCTGTGAGTTAAACTTGCACCAAAGTGCTTTGCTGGATGATTCCCAGAATGCTCAGCCCCACATCTGGGTACAGCCCTTCATCCTGACTTTTTCCTTATAAAAAATGACTAGTATAATCAAGAGTTAAATGTGGAGACATCTGTATTGTTGCAGGAAGGAGGAAAGGGATGTTAGGATGCAAATAAAGTAAGAAAGAAAGAAAGAAGTTATTTGGCATTTAGAGTCTTAATTTTGCATTGTTAAACTCATAGTGATATTTATTTGCTCCTTAAATGATCCCAGAACAACAAGTCTGTCTGGTGGCATTTTTGCACATTTAAGAGTCCTTTGAATGAAAAGTAAAGGAGAGTCCCCTCTGTTTGAATTGTGTTTCAGTTCTCATTTCTGTTTTCCCTTTTGGGAACCCAAAGCTGGGTATGGTTATTACTTATATGGTCTGTACCTCCCTTTTCTTTAGGTCCCATTTTTCTATTGCTTATGAATTGCCGGCAGTTATTTCTCAGACAAATAAATTTGTTTGATAAAGGTAACAGTGTTGAAGTGGTACCATTTCTGGAAAATTTGAGTTGGTACCACTTGGTATTTGACTGTGAATCAAGAACATAAAACAAGAAAATGAATTTTTTAGGTAAATTTGCAGAAAAAGAAAATTACATGGATTAAAAATCTAGCTAAAGAATAAACCTCAAGTAAGTGATTGTATTATAATGGAGTTCTATATGGCCTCGTGCTTAACTGTGCTGTTTAACAGCTTGCAAACAGAATGAGCAACTGCCAAAATGCTGAATTATGGAGAGAGCAGGTCAGTGACACAGAAGAGTTAAACCATGTTGCCAAACGGAACTACTTTCATTGTCATGAAATACAGAGTCCAGAGTAAAAAAAGAAAGATGATGTTACTCTTAAACATAGGATATGTTCTTCTAAAAAGCTTTTTTCTGAAAGTAACTGATTTTCATAGTGGATAATCAACCACTGACTTCCCAGACCAATTCTAGGTAACAGACCCATGACAGTCCAGAAAGTAAAACCAGGACAATATGCAGCACTAGGAAGCAAATTATTTCTTTAGTTAGAAATTGTGTCACTGTTACAGAAATCCTGTGCCCATGCTATAAGCAAGACATTGAAAAATTTTATGGAAGACTCAAAGAGAATCAATAACAAAATTTTTAGGGTCAGTATTGATAGGCTAAAAATTTCACTTGGAAAACCAGAAATAAAATCGGAGATGATGGCAATATTAGTTAATGATATAGCTATTATTTCTCTTCATCAGTTGGCCTGTTCGCTCTTACATTCCATCATTGCCATAATAATATGAGGAACAGCTGCAAACTTTCACAGTAATAGGTACAATCGAATCTGATGTGTCTAATTAATTTTTGGTCCGACAAATTAGTTTTGTTCTTCATTACTCTCCAATGGGAGGAAGACATTATATTTCATTATGTTTTTGTCTTCAGGAACAATGGAGCGTTACAGGTCGCACGCTTCCCTTGTCTATGTACTAATTAGTTGAACTGACAGCATTGTTACAGAAACACCTGCAGTATATGAAATAGTACACTGGTACCTTGGATGACATATTTATTACTTCTGCTTAAATATTATATAAAGAAATACAAAATTAATGCCATTCATTTCCCCAAACCCCAATGATTATATTAATTTTATCAAACGTCAGAGAGTAACATTCATCTGTATCAATTTATTTTTCAGTCGTCAAATTCACAAAGCATATGTTATTTTGACATTTAAATGAATTATTACTTTTGCAGTTGTGATTGCTAGGCACTGAAGGGTAGAGGAAACAGCCAGGCTGCAAACTTTAGAAGGTAATTTGGAGACAGATTGCACCTTCTCCCAGAAGAGAGAGAGAGCATAAGGTCCACTGAAAACTGTCCCCCGGCTCTCTGCAGTTTCCTCTCACATCTTTCATTCTCAAAAGACTGGTTTCTGACCTTAGAGAAGAAAATAGGACCTTCAGACTCTTTGGAGGCTTC